GCCCCTGGCCAGGGCTCCCTGACCACTTGCCCACCCCTGATCACTCTCCCTCTGGCTGCACTCAGCCACTGGCCGGGGCTCCCTGACCACTTGCCCACCCCTGATCACTCTCCCTCTGGCCCCTCTGGTCACGCTCAGCCACTGGCCGGGGCTCCCTGACCACTTGCCCATCCCTGATCGCTCTCCCTCTGGCCTCTCTGGCTGCAGCCAGCAGCCTGTCCCTGAGCAGCTGCGGATCCAGCTACGCCGGGTCAGCATGCACGACTACGAAACCTTGCACTACGACAAAGAGCAGCTCAGGGAGGCCTGTGCGTGAGCCTGGGCCAGGAGTGAGGGGTGGCGGGGCCCCAGCCCCAGCCCCAGCCCCAGGCTGACAGATGCTCTTCTGTCTCCACAGCCGTGCCGCTGGGCACTGTGGTGGTGCCAGGGGACAGCGACCTGGAGCTCTGCCGTACCCACATTGAGAGGCTGCAGCAGGGGGTGAGGAGGATGACGGAGTTGCGGGCATGGGGGCCGGGCAGTGGGCCAGCGCCTCTTTGCACAGCACAGCTTTTCTCTGGTTTGCCTCCACCGCTCTCCCTGTCCCACCCTTTCCTTTATGCCCACCCCTCACCTTCCCTTCATCCCGAGCAGGAACCCGACGGAGCAGGAGCCAAGGCTTCATCTGGTCAGAAACTGTCACCTAATTGGTGTTTCCTGGATGGTGAGTTCCTGCCCACTAGCGGCCTAGGAAGGGCTTTGTCCTGGCGGTGCCCCTTCCTGGGCAGGGGAGCTCGGGTAGGAAGGGCAAGGTGGAAACCCCAGCTCCTCATGTCCCTTTCTCTCCCACAGCTACTACAGCCAATCGATTCTACAGGATAGATCGAGCCCAGGCAAGTACAAAGGAGTCCCCGGGCAGCCTCCCGAGCCCTGCCCAAGAGAGTGTGGTATCTGAGACGCCCCTGGTCCCAGCCCACGTAGTCTCTGTCTCTGTCTTTTCCTGTCCCCCCCCCCCGCCGCCCACGGGGCCTTCATTGTAGTCAGGGCTACAAAGCAGACAGCCGTGGAACGGGTGGCAAGCTGTGGAGGGCAGTGTGTCCCTGAGGGAGTCCCCGGGTGGTGAGGGAGCTGAGCCTTGAACATTGCATAGCATTTTGATGAACCCCGGGAGAACACACTAGCCGGAGGATGGGGTGGGGGAGTGAAACGTGGAGACGCTTGAAAATCAGCGGGACTCGTTAAGAGGCTGCTCTGGAACTGGTGGGGAGGGGCCAGATGGCAGCGGGGTGGGGGTGTCAGCACCTCTGATGTTGGAGGCCCCCAGCCAGGCCCCAGGAGCGCACAGACACACATGAGCCTGCCCCTCCTGCCCTTGACGAGTTTGACTGTGGGTAGAAAGAAGGAAACACGGTTGGGAGTCGGGTTGGGGAAGGCAGAGCATGAGGGGAGCCATCTTCCCACAGAAGCCCCCATCCTCCGAGCTGAGTTTTGACGGGAGTGGGCTGGGGGAGGGAGGGAGCGAATTCCAGCCCCCTAGGCCCAGGACAGCCTGGGCAAAGGATTGGAGTCAGGAAAGTGAAAGCCAGGGTCAGGACACAACTTGTAGGCCAATTGGTCTAGGAGATGGAGGGGGATTGATAAGTCTGGGGCCGGTGATGAGGATGATGGCGGCTCTGAAGGTCTGCCCAGAGAGTAAAGGCGGGGGAGGAGAGAGACTGGAGGGAGGGAGAGCCTGGGGCCAGCTGGGTGGCCTCGCCAGCTGAGGGCAGTCACAGGGCGAGCCTTATCTGGAAAGAAACTGAGGCCCAGAACGGAGAGCAGGGGCCCCGGGTCCAGATGCCACCGTCCTCCACCTCACCAGCAGTGGTAGCCTGAGGATCTTTGTGTGTCCAGGTCAGGCAGGAGTAGCTGATGAGGCCCGCGTCAGGGTGGCCGAGGGGCCAGCGGGGGCGGAATCTAGAGAGGTTATTGGGGGAGACAGCGATCACTAGGAAGCACATTGGAACCCCCCACCCCCCCAGATATTCATTAAGCACCCACTGAATACAGAGCGTTGTGCATGGGCTGCAGGGAAGACAAAGTCTGAGTGAGACACAATCCCTGCCTTCGGGGAGTTCACAGTTTGTCATGGGGGGATGATTGTCGTGGTTCAGTCCTTTCCCTCGTGTCCGACCCTTCGTGACCCCGTTTGGGGTTTTCTTGGCAAAGATCCTGCAGTGGTTTGCCACTTCCTTCTCCAGCTCATTTTACAGATGAGGAAACTGAGGCAAACAGGGTGAAGTGGCTTGCCCAGGTTCACACAGCTAGTAAGGGCCTGTGGCCCAATGTGAACTCACAAAGATGAGTCTTCCAGACCCCAGGCTCAGCACTTGTGTTCACTGCACCACGTAGCGGCCCATTTATGGGGATAAGTCCGAGACACTAGTAATACCCAGTATTATTGAGAGGGCTCAGTCAGTCAATAAACATTTATTAAGTGGGGTGTGTGTGTATGTATGTATTATATATACACAAACATAAAATTTGTATAGGTATTATTTAATAATAAATATATCGTTTTATATATCTACATGTTTGTCTACAAGAGGGGTGCAGGCAGAATGCTCCATTATCTCTGCCTTCCCCAGGACCCAGGAGGGTGGCTCCCATGACTTCCCCTCTGCCAGGGCATCTTCAGTGGGAGAGGGCCCAGGGCCTGATAGAGACTTCCTTACAGGAACATCTCAACTACGTGACTGAGATTGCACAGGATGAACTCTACGTGCTCGACCCAGAGCTGCTGGGTACCCCTGCCAGGCCTGCCCTCGAGGCCCCCCAGAGCCCCGGCCCCACCTCTCCACTACCCACATCCCCCAGGCCCAGGTGTGCACCCCCGCCTTGTCCAGAGGGTCCCTGGGCATGCAGGGAAGAGGGCAGCCCTCGGGGGTAGGGGGGTGGTCCTGGCCCCGGATAGTAGCCTCCTCATGTCTTCTGCTCCTCTGTTCCCAGGCCAGACCGAGGAGATGCTGTACTCCTGAAAGGTGAGGAGCCTTCTCTTTGTGAGCTCTGGACGTGGAGGTGAAGAGTGGCGGGCGGGGGGACCCCTCTAGCTGGAGAGCCCGAGACCCACACCGGTGAAGCTGGCGCAGGGAGGACAGGAAGCTAAGCCCCTTCTAAGTCTCCCAAAGGCCAGGTGGCTGCAAATGGACACCAGACCCCCTACCCTCTCTTGGACCAGCCCATCCTCCCCCTCGACCCCATAAAATCCACCCTTCCCCCAGCGAGCTCCCATTTTAACAGGCGGTACGAATCCACACACAGACTGTGCAGCCTGAGGAGAACGTGAATAAACACAAAGATGTGCAGAGCAGCTGAACACAAATAGTTTGGGAGAGTGGGCAGGAGCTGGGGGCATGAGTAAAGGATTCCGGCAGGAGATGGACAGGGTCAAGGCCCCGGGCCCACCTGTAACCTGCAGATTTTGTTCTGTAGGTGAAGGCTTAATAGAAGCTGCTGAGAGAAATGACTTCTGTAAGGTATCGGCCCTGCCCCCACAGGAATGGGCTCTCCTTCCCCTTCCAAACTGGGGCCACATGGGATGGAACCAGGAGGAGTCCCCTCCCCCTCAGGGGTGCTCCAGGCTGGGCCTCAACCCCGGGGCACCCACAGGGGAACAGACTCTTTGGGACAGCTGGCTGGGGAGGGAGGAGAGTAGCCCAGGGGACAGATCCCTGGTCCCTTTAGGGAGTTAGAGGGAGAAAGGCCTAGGAGGAAGGAGCCGGGAAGCCCGGCTCCCCAGTCTCCTGCCTCCTGTCCCCTCAGTTCCAAGAGCTCCACCGAGCAGGGGGAGATCTCATGCTCCGGGACGAGCGGGGCCGAACCCTTTTGCACCATGCTGTCAGAGCTGGGAGCAAGGAGATCGTCCGCTATCTCCTGGACCATGGTGAGAGAGCCCGGGGATGGAAGTCCCAGACCTCACTGCTAGGGACTGGGGGCAGGGAAAAGCCACTGGATTGAGTTAGGAGGCCTAGGGTCAGATCCCAGCTCCCCTCCTTGCTTCTTCTGTGATGGTAGGCACGTCATTCCCCTTTGTGGGGCTCAGTTTCCTTCTCTGTAAAGTGAGTTTGACGAGGTGATCTCTAAATTTCCCTCAAGCTCTAACTCCTACAACCCTCAGGGTGGGGTTCCCTCTTTGCTTTCCATCCACTTTCTGCCCAAGAGGTGTGTCTCTGACCTTCCCTCTCCTCCCTCCCCTCATGTTCTAGCCCCGACAGAAATCATTGATGCTGTAGAAGAGAAGTGAGTATTTGGGCACCCTTAGCCCTGGCCTACCGGGCCCCTGCCCTTTGCCAGGCAGCTCACTCCTCCTCAGGGGGGAGGTTGGGAGGGGAGGGGGAGACAGCCCTTGGTGGATGGGTGGGAGGCCCTTGCCTCGTCCTGGATCCCACCCAGCTGCTCCCTTTGCAGCGGGGAGACGTCCCTCCATCAAGCAGCAGCCCTGCGCCAACGTACCATCTGCCACTACATCGTGGAGGCAGGAGCCTCACTCATGAAGACTGACCTGCAGGTGCCCAGGATGGGGAGGCCTGACTGACAGGGCATAGGGCTGTGGGCAGGGCATTCCCGAATGGGCAGGAGAGGGAGGCCCCTGCTTCCTCCAGCCCACCATCCCACGGCCGGAGCTGCCCAGGGAGAGTCTGACAGACTTAGTGAGACCACGTGTGGCTGGTGAAGCCTGAGCTGTTGAGAAGGAGCTGAGGGAAGGGCCTGGCCTGAGCTCTGGTTCTAGGAGTTAACTCCCTTCACTGTCTGTTGGCCCCCAGGGTGATACACCGAGGCAGCGGGCTGAGAAAGCCCAAGACACTGAGCTGGCCGCCTATCTAGAAAACCGTCAGCACTACCAGATGATCCAGAGGGAGGACCAGGAGACCGCTGTGTAGCCCAGTGACCCCAGGAAGCAAGACGACGTGGCCCAGAACCTCCCCTGCTCCAGGACCAGGATGGGGGGAGGGGGCCGAGTCCTTGGCCTCACTTGTTCACACTGCTACATTCCACTGGGCCAGGTGGACGGCACCGTGGGGGGCCCCGCCTGGGGCCTGCACGACGAGGACGCGAGGCACACAGAGACTGGACTCAGAGAGCCTGGGGCTACAGCCCACCCTGCCCCCATCCTGTGCATGTTCTCTTGCCTGGCTTTTGAGCCCCATCTCTATCCTGGAGGTCGCAGCCTCCAGCCCTGACCAGGAAGGTTGAGGGAGGGGCGTTGCCCAGCCAGGAGAGCCAGTGACCCTGGCCACCGCAGCCAGTTGTAGTCAGGACTCTGCCCATATCCCAGCCACTGTCCCCGGGAGGCTGGACACCTTCCTCAACTGCCTTAGTGAGAAGGAGATCCTAGGGCAGGGGAGAGGGTGACGGAGGGAAGTGAGTCTGGGCCTGAAGAAATGGGATGAGTCGAGGGAGGGTCAGCCAGAAGCTGTGAGTTGAGAAGGGGTCCAGAGAAGCCCCGGGAGGGCAAGGGAAAGCTACTTCCTGGAGCCCGAGGCAGATGAGGGGGGAGGTGTTCAGTGCTGCAGGCATCGCCTGGTTCTCCTGCCCTCTGGATCCCAAGCCACCCTGCCCACTTCAGCACCTTCCTGGTAGAGCCTGCCGCCCACCCCCCCCCCCATTGCCTTTAGCACGCCAAACCATTTCATTGCAGACAGGGCAGTCCCTGCCCAAGGCAGGGAGATTCATCCAGCACATGGGGGGGCGGGGGGTGCCCAGGGAAGCTTGTCATGGTGTCATGTTTACAGCCTAGCTGGGTGTAACTCAGTAAAATGGATGTTTTTTCCTAACTGATTTGTGTTCTGGGGTTGGTGGAGGCCAAAGGAAGGGCCCAGACCAGGACTGCTCCTGGTGAGCATGGGACTTCCAAGTCCCAGGCGATGGCTGTGTGGTGGGGAGCAGTGGGGTCTGGCCTTTGTGCTTGGAGAGGAGACAGCCCTGGCTTTGGAAGCAAGATCCACGTGCTGTGGCTGTGGCTGTGGTGTTGGGCCTTCCTCATCTGGACAGGGCAGGGCAGGGCTGGGCCCCATCCCACTCCTCAGGACCTGGATCCTTTCCTCCATTGAGCCTCAGAAGAGGCAGATGGTCTCATTCTGCAACTCGGAGTGTTAAGATGAGGGTTAGGGTCCCTTGAGAGAGCTGGATTCAAATTCTACTTCTGCCATAACTGTGAGACCTTGGTCCAGTCACTCACCCCTCCCTGAACATCTTTTGGTCTGTAAATTAGGCGGTTGGATTAAATGATCTCTAGGGTCCCTTCCAGCTTCAGCTGGTCATCAGAATTCTGGGTCTACTGGGGCCTACTTGTCCTTAGCACCAGCCTGCACCTCAAAGCAGCCCTCCAAGAAGGCGAGAGGGACATCAGAAGTGCCTGGCCCCCCCACGCAGCCTGCCTTCTGGCCTTGTTCTGGGGGGCAGGAGCAGGATTCCACTGTGCAGCTGTGGCCCGGGCCAGGGGTGAGCTTTCCACCCTCAGTGCCCCGGGCTTGGAGTTTTTGCCAGGTCACTGAGGGTGAGAGGCCTCCTGGGATGGTTTGGAATGGGAGTGGACGCTGGGCACTCCCCCAGGGAGGTGGGATAGGACAGTCTCGAGCAGACAAGCAGCCCGGACACAGCCAAGGCCCTAAACGCTGCCTCCGAACTGGGCAGCAGCCTGGACCTCCACACAGCACGGACATGGGGCGGGGGGGGGGGGGGGGGGGGGGGGGGGGGGGGGGGGGGGGGGGGGGGGGGGGGGGGGGGGGGGGGGGGGCGGTGCACACGGACATTCACAGGCACAAAGGTAGAGCTGGAAAGGGTCATGGCGGTGCCATCCAGTGCCACCAGCTTATGCCACAAATGGGGAAACTGAGGCCTCAGGCCCTCGGGACTCCAGACATCCACAGGGATGCACACGTACTTGCTTGGGGTTCCACTTAGTCTTCCTCATCTGAAGATGAAACCTCAGTTTCCCCGAGAGTACGGGAAAGAGAGTGGCTTCTCGGCCCAGGATCCCCCAGCTTCTCCTGCTCAGGAGAGAAGTTTGGGGGCGTCCTCGGGCCCGGCCGGCCCCTGGAGGGGCGGAGGCGGGGGCTGGCCCCTCGGGGAGGGTCGGGGAGGGCGGGAGTCCCTCCCCTTAGTGGGGAGGGGGCGGGGGCCCATGTGACCGGCTCAGACCGGTTCTGGAGACAAAAGGGGCTGGGGCGGGAGGAGCCGGAGCGGGACGGTGGGACGGGCCCGGGCACGGGAGGCAGCTGCGGCCGCGGCGGGAGCGGAGCCCAGAGCAGACAGCGAGCGAGCGATCGGGGAGCAGAGACAGCGTCGGGGCCGGGGCCGAGTGAGCGACCGAGGGATCCAGGGAGGGACCCGGGCAGCGAGCGGCCCAGGGCACCCCGCGGGGGACAGGGGAGCTGACCGGGGGCACGAGGCAGGGGGGCAGCTGCCCCGCCCGAGGACGAGAGACCCCAGGGTGGGGTGGCCCGGGGTTCTGAGGAGCCCTCCCCCGGAGCCGCCCCCCCCGCCCCCCCCCCCCGCCCCCCCCCCCCCCCCGGGGGGGGGCCCCGGGCGCCCCCCCCCCCCCCCCCCGCATCCTTGGCTGGCTAGACCCAGGGACCCCGCTGGGCCTGGCCTGAGAGGGGAGGGGCCCCAGCTGGGAAGAAGAGGGGAGAGCCTGGGGCTCTTAGTCCATTGTGGGGGAGGGGTCAGCAGGCCCTCCGCCCAGCGCCCAAGTGGAAGGGGGAGCACGCTCTTCCCTACGCACACCGTTTCGGTACCAGGCCGGAGCGTGCGGTGATGGTGGGGAGGAGGGTCCAAGTATCACCATGCTCTGACCCCCGAACCTCTCCCCCGCCCCCAACCCCAGGATGCAGCTCCGAAACTTCCTTGTGCTCACCCTCATGGCCCTCCTGGCCCTGCCCTCGGAGGCTGCAAAGAACAAGAAAGGTGATGGGAAGCTAAGGGAAATGGGGGAGGGGCGGGCTTCTCCCCTGGGGCCCCGGGGGATGAGCTCTCCCTGGCGAGCTAATGGCCGCCCTGCCTCCGGCCCTTGTTCCAGACAAGGGAAAGAAAGGCAGTTCGGAGTGTGAGGAGTGGAGCTGGGGTCCGTGCACGCCCAGCAGCAAAGACTGTGGCATTGGCTTCCGGGAGGGCAGCTGCGGGGGCGAGACCCGGCGCCTCAAGTGTAAGGTCCCCTGCAACTGGAAAAAGGAGTTTGGAGGTAAGGATAGCACCCCCCCCCCCCGCCCCCCGAAGACGCCCGGGCCTCAGAGCGAGGGGCCGTGGGGAATACTCGGGGCTGACGGGAGAGGACCAAGTAGGCAGGATGCCCAGCCAGCGCGGGCCATCCCTCTGACTCCAGTCTTCCCCAGCGGACTGCAAATACAAGTTTGAGAGCTGGGGCGCGTGTGACAGCAGCACTGGTACCAAAACCCGCCAGGGGACCCTGAAGAAAGCCCTCTACAATGCCCAGTGCCAGGAGGCCATCCGAGTGACCAAGCCCTGCACCCTCAAGGCCAAAGCCAAGATCAGAGGTCAGTATCTGGACAGCTCCACCTTCCTGTTGGGGTCTAAAGGGGAGACCCAGGCGGTGCACCCCCCCAGTCAGAATCCCATTACCTAGGATGCCCTGCCTGAATTAGCCCTTTCCTCCAGGCAGCCTGGGGCCCACAGGAAAGCCTCTGTGGTAGAGATCAATTCTGCTGGGGAGGGGAGGGAGGGGTAGCAGAGGTGGGGAATGAGTGGGGGTGGGAATGTGGGGCCAGAGCTGGAGGAGGAGGGGCAGATCTCCCGACCATTACTTCTCACCACTCACCCCAGTCTGGCTTCTCTTTCACAGCCAAGAAAGGGAAGGGGAAGGATTAGACCCAGAAGCACCACCTGACAAGGGGGCTTTGCCTCTGGGGGACTCCCAGATGCCCTGTCCCTTTCCTCCCTCTGCCTCCCCCCTCCCCTTTCCAGCCCCCCAGAACTTATTCCACACCAGGTGCCTTGTTCTTATCATTAGCTTTATCAATCACGAAGCCCTCCTCCCCACTTTCCCTCCATTCTTCCCAGCCCTGCCCCGGAGCCCTGGCATGAAGGGGTGGAGGGGTTCAGGGGGGAGGGAGGGACTAGGCCCTCCACTCCCTGCCCTGGCTCCCTCTCACCCCAATGATGTGAGCTCCAATTCAGCCTACCCCCTTATTCAAGCCATCACCTTTATTAAAAAATAAAAATAAAGTCTTTTTTTTTCCAATAAAAGCCTTTTGTTTTTAATATATAAAAGCTCCCTTCTCTAATAGTTTAGCTGCAATTTGGGGAGAGGATTCTCTGGGGTTTAGGAGGGAGAGGAAGGGGCGAGGGTAGAGATCCAGAAAGCTGGGACAGGAGCGCTGACCAGGCAGGGAGGACGGAGTTTGATCCCCTACCCCGCCATTTCCAATCTGAGCTCAGAATTCAGGATGCTAATGGGAAAAGCAACATCTCTTAAAAAATGAAAACCAGGTACAAAACCTTTCTCCTCCTATGTCCCATCCTGACCCCTCAAATTCTTGATGCCTTTCCTCCCCAGTGATGGCTAAGCAGACACCCCACTGGGCAGTGGAGTGGGGCTTGGGGAGCTAGACAGGAGTGAGGCCAGACCTCTCAGCAGCATCTCCAAATTCAAGGTCTCCTTGTCTGCTCTGCTCTGGGTATCCAAACTCCTCAAAAGGATCCCACCTTCCTGCTCTAGACCCTCCTTTGGTGGAACTGGCATGAAGGAAACTGAGCCAACCTCACTGAAAAACAGGCATGCCCCTGGAAGGAGCCCATTATACAGAGAAAGAAACTGAGGCTCCTGCCCAAGGCAATGTGGCCAGGTTGTACAGATTTTCTCGCTCCCACCCTGTAGGTGTGTCTGCTGCCCCTAATTCTGAATGTCCTCTTCCCTCCGCCTCTCTTCCTCCCCGCTCTTTCCTCATCTTGTCCTCTCCTTCTTTTCCCTGCCTTCTCTTTCTTCTCTGTCCTTTCTCCTCTCTCCCTTGATTCTCCTATTTCCTCTTTCCTCTTCCTCCTCTCTCCCAACATTTCCTGGACTCTCCTTTTCCCCTCCTCCCACCCTCTATCTTGTCTCTGTCTGCCTCTGTCTCTGTCTCTGTCTCTGTCTCTCTCTCTCACACACACACACACACACACACACACACACACACACACCCTAGCCTCCCATCCCTCTCACGTGCCACTCAAACGTGAGTGTATTTCAGGAGTAAGACGGGCAGGCCCTGAGGGAGGCTGTGGGTGAAGACCCAGGAGGCCACACTTCCTTCTTTCCAGGGATGCTGAGGGCACCAAGGCTGCCCTGCTCTCATTTCAAACAGATGCACAATAGTCTCAAGTCACCATCCTGAACACGAAAGGCAAGAAATGGTGAAGCCTTCCTTTGGCTCAACTTAGACCATGAAGCTGTCCAGCTGCACCAACCCCATGTGGTGGAATGAGCCACTGCAGCCGGGGAGAAGATGAGGGGGCGAGGCGAGCTCTTGGGCTCAGTCCTCTACCCTCTGCAGACCTACAGAATTTGACAGCCAGGAGGACTTTCAGTGTTCTGAATCCACAACATAACCCACAAAGGTCAAGCAGCTTTGGTGGGGAGTAAGGGAGACCCACTGGCCAGGCTGCAAAGGGGAAAGTGGGGAGATTTACTGCCTACTGGAATAGACTGGAGGTCGGGCTGAACCCTGCATGCAGGTGGGTTAAGCAGTACCATTTACACGCCGGGGTTAGGGGGCTGCTCCCAATACAGTTGGACCCTCAGAGCCCAGGGGCCTGATTTCCCCCTCCCTACCCCTACGTCCGAGAAACCACGCCTCCACATGCCAACCCTACACCTTCTTATGTCCCTTGTAGTCCTGATGGCTGGGGTTCAAGCCAGACCTTCCCCTCCGGCAGCCGCATTCCTGGCACCTTGGCCAGCACCGCACCCTACCCCACCCCTTTTTCTAGTCACCAGGTATACACGTCCAACCACCTCAGGTTTTCAGTGAAGTGTCAGACATTGAGTCCCTAGAGGCAGACCCTCCTTTCTTCCAGGTCCTCCCCAAACCCCCACCCCTCCAATCTCAATACGAGGGTATCCAGCTCCTTCTGGCCAGAGGTCTGTTGGGTCCTGGCCTTTCTTGAAGTCCTGAGAAGAATCCACACAACCTCTCTGGAGCCAAAGTCCACTTTGGTCCCACCAGCAGCTCAGCCCAGTTGCCCCTGGAGCTGAGGGGCCCATCCCCCACTCCCTGCCCCTGGAGGTCAGGTAACAGGGAAAATGTGAGGACCAAGCCTCCCAGACCTTCCACTCTGGTGACTCCGGACACACACTGGGGACACTCCAGTACCTTTCCTGAGCCGTCCTGTAGGCCGTAGGGAAAAGGGTGCCACCTGTCCGAGTCTTTTCTCTCCTCTTGAGTGGGACAGGCAGTGGGTCAAAGGGAGTCACCCTGGAACCACTCAGAACCCAGAGCGGTAGGAAGTCCCCATCCACGGAGCTGTGCCCACTTACCTGGCAGTACCAATGTTTCTGTACTGGCACAGAAGTAAGTGCTTGAAGGTCTTCTTGAAGGTGGCATTGCAGAGGGCATAGCAAGCAGGATTAATGGTGCTGTTGACGTAACAGAGCCAGTAGCCAATGGACCACACGGTGTCAGGGACACAGCTCTGGCAGAAGGTGTTGACTAGCACCATGACATTGTAGGGCGTCCAGGTAACAATGAAGGCCAGCAAGATGGCGAAGATGGTCCGCGTCACCTTCCTTTCCCGGGCTGCCATCTGCCGCTTCTTCCTCACCTGATTTCGGGCAATGCTGGCAAACTTGCGGGCCACGTTGGCGGCCGGGCGCAAGCTTGCCGGCGTGGCGGGGACTATCTCGATGGCTGTCACGCACTCATTGCCCGTCTGCTTCGTTACAATCTGTATCTTGGACCACTTGGAGGCTGGATTGAGCGCTCGTGGGCGTGGGGGCAGTGGAGTGGACGGGCTGCAGCCAGTCTCAGCCGTCGACCCCTCGGTCAGGGGCCTCTCCCGGGTGTTCTGGGTGACGCTGGCCGAGCTGGAGTCATTGGACGTGTCTTTCTCCTCGGGCAGCCGTGGCGGGAGCAGGACTGGTGGAGGTGCTTCCTCTAGCCTTCCATTGCGGATCTCCTCCTTCCCAGGCTCTCCCGGCTTCCGGCTTGGGTTCTTGCCACTCTGCTTCATAAGGGGGCTCCTGAGGAACGAGAGGCTCTTGGCCTTCTTCTCCTTGGGCCCCTCGGGACGGTGCTTGTGGACCCGGCTTCGACTAGCCAGGGAGATGTGGATGTAAAGCACGGTCATGATGACCACAGGCAGGTAGAAAGCTGCAATGGCTGTGCCAAAGGTGACCGCCGGGTTGGACAGGAACTGGATGAAGCACTGGTTGTCCGGCACCGTCCGTTCCCCTACCACAAACTGCCAGAAGAGGATGGCCGGAGCCCAGAGTACAAAGGAGAGCACCCAGGCGGCAGCAATCATGAGGCCCGCCATCTTGGTAGTGCGCCGGGCTGGGTAGGTGAGGGGCTTGGTCACGCAGAAGTAGCGGTCAAAGCTGATGATGAGTAGGTTCATCACCGAGGCGTTACTGACCACGTAGTCCAGCGCCAGCCACAAGTCACAGACCACAGCCCCAAGAGGCCAGTAGCCCTTGATGATATACACAGTGTAGAGATTCATGGAGAAGGCCCCAATGATGAGGTCGGCACAGGCCAGGCTGAACAGGAAGTAGTTGTTGACCGTCTGCAGCTGCCGGTTGACCTTGATGGAGAGCATGACAAGGATGTTGCCTACAACGGTCACCAGGCTCAGGGAGCCAGTCACGGTGGCAATGAACACCATCTCCACCGTCTCATATCGGTTGGGAGCCGCGGGCATCGCCTGCACGGACTGGTCAGACTGGTTGCCATAGCTGCTGTTGACTGGAGTGAAGTTTGCCATCTTAGCTGAGCGACTAGGGCGGGGCACCGGAGATGGGGGTCACAGCTGGACTCTAAGGAGACAGAGAAAGGTGGTTGGACATGGAAGAGTGGAATGGAGGGGGGAGACAGCAAGCTCCAAAACCTCCCCAAACTTCCTCCCAGCAACGCCCGCCGACCTGAGCCTCGTCCGGCCCTTCAGCCCTTCCTGAGTTCCGCACTGACGTTTTCATGTGTTTTCAGCAATACAATAACAGCAGGGTATTTTGTTGGTATCTAGAGAATTCCTAGGTGAGAAAACTCTCACTACCAATCTAGGGGGGTACCTTGTCTTATTATTGTTAATAATAACAATAATAATCAATAATAATGATAGTCATAATAGGTCAGGCTTAAACAGAACTTTACAGAAGTGATTTCATTTGAGCCTTGAAACAGCCCAGTGATGTAGTAGCTATTATTAGCTCCATTTTAGAGAGGAGGAAACTGAGGCCTGGATCAGTAAAGCGATTGCTCTGTGGCCCTGTCACACCGAGTCTGGGGTGGGATTCAAACTCATAACCATAAACTACATATATATATATATATATATATATATATATATATAAAGTCTTCTACCCACTACTTGTCCACAACATCCCCATGACCTAAATGGTTCAAACATGATTATCTCCATTTTACAGAAGAGGCAACAGTGCAGTGAAGAGATTGGCCCAGTCAGGGTCAGGCTTGGGATCCAAACCCACACTTGGGTTTCCTTGTCTGTACAATGAGGAGGTCGCCATATTGCCTCTAGACCCAAAGAGCCCTATGACCGCTGTGGACCAGAGACAGGAGCTCACGTTTTTAGAATTAGCTCAGCTTTCATTTACTGCTTCCTACCTGGGTGACCCCGGCCAACTCATTTCCTTCTCTCCGGGCCTCAGTTTCTTCATCTGCGTTGGACAAGGGATCTATGTGATCCCTAAAGTACCTTCCAGCTCTGAGTCCCCTTGATTAGAGAATAGGGCGGATAAAAGAACAGTCAGCCTGGTTCATGGATTCATCAGCTGGCAGAGATGGAAGGAATCTCTCAGCTCATCAGCTCCTCAAGGCATCGCTTCCAGAAGGGGCATGTCTAATGTCTAGGGGATCTCCCGTGTCTCTACTTTCCTGCCGTCCCCCATTCCTGTGACGCCCTTCTTTGGCCACCATCCCCTCTCTATGCCATCTCTATTAGGCGGTAAGATCCGAGAAGGTGTCACTTTGGATTTTGGACTCCCGGGCAGAGTCTGATGCATAGTAGGTGCTTTTTCACTCATTCATTCAACCCCTGCAGTCAGTCAGACAACAAGCACTTACTATGTGCTGGGCCCTGTGCTAAGCTCTGCATAAACAAGGACAAAAGCAAGAGTGCCTGCCCTCAAAGAGCTTCCATTCCAATGGGGAAGCTGAAACCTAGATAACCAAGTCTATGTAAGCTACAGACAGAAGAGAGGAAAGGTAATCTCAGAGAGGAAGGGATTGGCAGTGAAGGATCAGTGAGGACCTGTTGCAGAAGGAGGCGTTTGAGCAGGATCTTGAAGGAAGCCAGAGGTGAAGGAGTAGATGTTCAGTAGGGAAATGTGGTGTCACTTAAGAGGAAAAGAAGGGAACGAACCCTTAATAAGAACCCTAGATGTTCGGGGGAAGGGAATCAGAATTAAGTGCCTTCTACGTGGTAGGCACTTAACAAATATTACCTCATTTGACCTCACAACAACCCTCAGAAGGAGGTGCTATTATGCTATTATAATAGCATATATAATATGCTACTATGTCCCCATTTTATAGGTGAGGAAACTCAGGCAGGCAGAGGTTAATGACTTGCCCAGGATCACCTTGCGGGTAAATGTCTGAGGCTGGATTTGAACTCACGTCTTCCTAACTTCAGGATTGCCTTCTAGCTGCCTCTATATCGGCAAATACGCCAATATGGTGTCTGGAGGGGAGTTAAGTACAGGACTGGAAAGGTAGTCATAAATGCCAGAGGTTTTCTATGTGCTCTAGGAGGTAATTGGAATCCACTGGAATTCACAGAGTAGGAGTTCAGCATCCTCTTTGGCAACTGAGTGGAGGCAGGTGGGTAGAGACATGAGGCAGGGAAGCATGTTGGGTGGCTCTTGCCATGGTGCAGGCAAAGGATGACAAGGGCATGACCTAGGACAGCGGCCATGGGAGAAATGGGAACATAGACGTGTCAACCTCGGGCCATGGATCTGCTCTGTGGAGTGGGTGGTGACAGGAGATGGAGGGGGATGCCAAGGTTGGGGGGCTGGAGGCCTGGAAGGATGGTGGTGCCATTCAGGGTGCTGGGGACAGTGGGGAGAGGGGAAGGATACCTGAATGTGAGGTACCCACGGGACACCCAGTACGGATGTCTACAAGGCACTGGGTGCTTTGGAAGAGTCTGGGGGTGAGTACTCGGAGCTGGTGACGATGGAAGCTATGGGAGCTAATGACTGTCTAAGGCAGAACAGAGGGAGAATAGAATGGGCCTGGGGATGTCCCCATGAGCAGGCACAACATGGAGCTCATGGCCTTTGTGACCAAGACCCCACAGCAAGCAACCAAAGGATGGGGGGGGAGTGACTTCAGAGGTCTTGAGTCCAACATCTCCATTTTACAAGTGAAGAGACTGAGGCCCAAAGCCACCCAAGCACTCAAATCCAGAGGGCGGCTAACAGTCCATTGCTCTTTGAGAAAATCCCTTCCCTACTCTAAGCCTCAGTTGCCTCTGTAAAATGGGTGGGTATTTGAATTAAAAGATATGTAAGGTGCCTTTCAGTCTTCAGAGGGTGCTTCACCCCCAGTCCAGGCCAGAGACGAGTGACCAGTGGAAATGTCCTGACCCTTGCCCCTGTGGGCACTGGCCTGAGAAGGGCCGACTGGCAGAAGAGGAGGCAGTGGGAACAGCCTTGAGTGTCAGACTAGAGCCCAGACAGACTGCCGATACAGAGACTCCTTCCCCGATTGTCGATTCCAGGCCAGGCTCTCCCTCCAGCTCCTTGCCTGAGCCATCTGTGAGCTTGCCTGGGGGTCACCGGCTCCCTGGGAGTTGCTGACAGCCCACTCCCCCGTCCCTCCTGCTGCGGTGGGTGTGTTTACTGCTCGGACTCAAATGTAAAAATCAGGCAAGTTTCCTTTTCCTACCATGGCACCCTCCCACGGCAGCCCCAGCAACCCCTCCCATCTCACATATGCAGCCGCACGCAGGCCCACACCTGGCACACGTGCGACCGAGCAAGGGCAGACACACCTCGACACACCCTCCGCCGTGGACACTGTCACACTCACACACAAACATACACGCCCTCACACACATATCCTCACATACTCAGTCACTCAAACACACACACACTCACACATATACACTCAGTCACTCAAACACACATACAC